CGGAGGAGCTGGCAGCAGGGCGGACCGGAGGAGGCGAGACAGGGGCTCAGCGCTGGGAAGGATGCCTACAAGCCATGAGCTGCCATTTTGTCTCTTTTAAGAGTGTTGGCTTTCCCCTCTCCTGGAGCGCAGTGCGCGGCGGTGGCAGCATCTCTCCTTGCCCTGCCCCTCCTCGGCCGTCCTGCAGGAAGGCAGCTCGGGGCGGCACGGGAGGTCCCCTCGGGAAAGCGCGCATCAACCCCAGCCTTCCCAGCCCCGGCGCTCTCCCTGCCACCTCCGCCCTAGGTGCTCGGGGTTTGCAGGCTGTTCAGCTGATTTGTTGCTAATAGCAACCACACGACAGCGATTTGCAGCCTTTGCTGCTGCCAGCGCCTCTCGTTACACCTTCTTGCAAACCGGGATACAGTCGTCTGGCTGCTGCCTGTCCCCACCCCTCTAACCACAGCAGCCAGGGACAATAACGGCGCAGGAGGACGGGACGGCCTCGGGGCGCGCTGCGGGCTCCGCTGGGCACCGCGCAGATTTGGTCCTTCCACATCAAGAGCTAAATACCGGCTTTCAGCCGCAGCCGCGCAGGCTCCGCGCATTTCGCATTGTGTGGTAGCTTTGTTGGGAGCTGCAATCCGACCGGCGCGGGGCGGGGGGAGAAACGCTGCTGGGTTTACATATGTAGATGCGGGTAGCGTTCAGCGCCAAGCCAACACACACCCTCCCCCGGAGCATCAGACACAAAGGAAGACCTCGGTCCTTTCAAGTCCCCAGAATAAATTAAGCTCCGGCTTTCAGTTTTGGAACGTCCCAAAAATATTTTTTTTTTTTTAATGGCACTGCACAGGCGCTGACGGTTCCGCAGGAAACCAGAGGTGTAACCATATGCGCGTGGTGAAAAGGGTTCAGCCCTACCAGCTAATATTTCCTGGTCCCATCCTGCAAGTCAACCTGACATGTTTTGCCATTTTCCGGTTTATTTATCTCTTAAAATTTTTATTCAGCCGTCCCGATTGTAATGGTGATGCACCAATCTCCACTAGCCAAATCTGTGCCGTTTACACGATTACAATTGTTACAAATATATGTTCAAATGCCAGCGTCGTCCTCTTGGGTGAAGAAAAAAGAGAAGTCCTCTTTCTAGAGCGTCTGAAGTGCCTCGACGTTTCTGGCTTCGCCTTACGGAAATAATTTACTCTGTAGGAAGGTCTTACAGACTAAACTCGCCACCGAAAATCCTGAGAAGGGATGCTAGAATGACGTGAGTCCCTGCAGCCCCGAGCCAAAGCTCAGGGAGAAAAAAAAGAGAACTTTCCATTTCTATGGTCTCTCTGACAGGGTTTTTGCTAAAATCAGGTAATGGCACAGCCTAACTTTAATTTGAAAAATAAATCATTCAAGGATCCAAATTAATTTTAGTAGAGGCTATACGTGGAGTTGGAGATTCTTCACTCAGTGTACTCTTTTGGAGAGAGCACTTCAGTTGCCTACATCCCATTCACTCCCTCTAACCTTTCCACGTTCAAACTCCTGGCTTTTAAAAACCCAGCACGTCCAACTCCGATCTGTGGGAGAGTTTGTGCGTTGCTCTTCCCACCAAATGATCTGAGTCGTGCAAATATGGGATTAAAAGCCGTAATTTCTGTAACCCTATGAATATCTCCTCAACACCTTGAACAATTTGCCAGGCGTGCGGCAGGAGAAGCAGATCCTCCAGAGGCAGATGGGGTGAGCAGCGCCCCGCCGACGGGCGCGGGGCACGGCCGGGGGCGGTCCGGCTCCAGCCCGGGTGACCCGCAGCCCCGGCGGGCTGTCCCGGGGGCCTCCCGAACCGCCGGGGAAGCCGCCGCACCCAGGCACGGGAAGACCTCACCTCTGAATGGACGTGGTGCAGTTTTAAGCCGCAGCAGAACATCCGCGGCTTGGCCAGCCGGGACAGAGCGGGGCGTGAGCCGTCGAGGGGCAGCGAGCCCGATCCCGGACCGGCCACCCAGTGCCCTTCCAGCCCGGGGTCCTGCGTGGGGTCCCCGGCAGCGCCCGGAGCAGAGTCACCTGTTGCCTCGCACCCGCGGGGACGAGACCGAGCCGGGAAAATCCACGCCCTCGGCACGCCTCACCCTCCAAAAAAATCCCAGGAGCAACTTCACCCTTCCCCGTCTTGGGGAAAATGATGCTCCCTCGCCACGTTCCGGGCGTATTTCCGGGTGAATCAAAGTCTGAGATTAAAGAATACCCACCAGAAAGCGAAGGCACATTATTCATTTGGATAATTGTTGCCAATTCCCCTGGTCTCCGGTTTATTTTTTAAGCTGACGTGTGCGGTAACGCAGTCATTACTAACACCACCCGCTTAAGGACACAGGTTTCCTACTAATGAGCACCCCAGCAGTAGGCAATGAAGTCTCGCAACTACGTCATTTCCATAAATGATTTTCCGTCTTCAGTACTTTTGCGAGAGCCGGTGACCTTTCCGTAGACCACATTTGCATGGTGTTTATTCCTCATTATTATTATTAACCATGTGAACAGACTTAGTATCAAGCAACGAAGTGTAACAGAAAGTCTTGGTGGCACTCAGGGTGCGTTTTGTTGCTCCTTATCCAAACATTAGACTTAATTAGACAGATAAATCAATTTATCTGTAATCGACACATCTGCTTTTTTTTTTTTTTTAACCTCTGGAAGTAATTAATCACCATTTGTTTATTTTTTATTTAACTTAGGAACAGAAATAAGTATAAAGAAATGTGTTTAACAGCTGTTCCCTTCTCAAGTACACATGGTGATAATTTCCCAAAATATTTTCTGTGACAAACGACCTTCTCACCAATCTGATTTTATTTGTCTCCTTTATTTGTAAAGAATAGCACGCCACCTGTTTAATTTGTTTGCTTAAAGAGATGCTTTTTCCCTGCACTAAATACTCTTGGAAAGACATAGCTCATTTTAGACCATGATGTTGTGTATGTTAGCCCCTCTCTTTTCAGCTGAGCAAACACAGACAGGAGTTTTTAAAAATGCAGACGTCTTTCTTTAACTTTTCTAAACTTCAAAAAGGCAGCTGAAGTACCTTCAGCATTCCAACTTTAAGATATGAGACAAAACTTTGTATTACCTATCAGATAATATGTTTTTATAGTGTCAGTCTTCTGATTTTGTACATTTGCAGCTTTGCAGGACAAATTACCCGCCTATGAAATCTTGAAGCCACTGTGCAATAATGTGTGGCTACAGAAAGCGACATTCTTTATTGACTATTAACTCTGATTTTCTGTTGTGGTTCACAATTTCACTTGGAGCAGCCTGATCGATAGCAGAGCTAACTATTACTTTAGTTCACAAGTATCCTGCGTCTTGGGAATCGCCCTTAAAAGATACTGGGGGAGATGTAGAGTCTATTTCTCTTCAAACCCTTATAACACTGATTTCATTTTCCAGTCCCACCGTTTGCACTAGTTGCTATACAGACCTCCAAGGCTGTGTTTACTCATAGATGCAACCATGTCTTTGCCAACCAGTAATTAAGGAAATTATTCGTAATTAGTCCTTATGGCCGGACACCAAGATGGGAAAAAGTGGAAGGCATTAGGAAGCTTATCTACCAGAGCGATAAGCTGCTGGAAAAAAAAAAAAAAATACCCTCCCCCCCAATTCTAGCGCACAGGAATATTTTGTGTCTGTGCCAGGCAGAGCCAGAGGGCTGCTGCCGGACCATCCATCCCCACCGTGCCCCTTCCCACGCTGCTCCCCCGCACCGAGAGAGCGGATGCTGCCCCCGGCCGCTGCGGCCGAGCGGGGCGCGGAGCGGCCGCTGCGCGGGTCTTCTGCGCGGGTGGGCGCGCTGGGGCAGATCATGCACTGCGCTCTGTATCGTCTGAGCAAAGCCTTCCCTTCAGCGGGCCACGGCGCTTCTTCTGCCTCTCCCGTGGCTCCCGGCGGAGGCTGGAGCCCACGGGCTCGCCCCTGCGCGTCCGCGCTGCCCACACCGCCCCGGCGCCGCCGCGCTCCGTTGCCGTGGGTGGAGGGCGGCTCCGCGGCCTTGCGCGGGACAAGTTTATTCCCCATGAGGCGCAAAAACTCCCTGCGTGGGTCGTCGCGGCGGAGTAAGGCAAGAGCGGAGATCCCCGAGGAGGAATCGCGTCGGTTGTGAGATAGGAAAGAAAAAACTAAAATCAAAGGACACCACGAAGAATAAAGGCGCGGCGGGGGACAAGCAGCTTCGAGCTGTCCTTATTTTTCTTATTTAGTTTTTATCTTCCCTCCCCACCCAAGGAGCCGAGGGAAGCGGGAGCCACGCAGGTGGACCCTCTCTCTGCCCGGAGATGCGCTGGATTTCGCCAGAGCGGCGACCGCCTCCCTGTCTGCCCGCCGAGCCCTTGGCAAGCTGCGCAGCAGCGGAGCGGAACAAGGGACGCACACCCGGGGCAGCAGCGCGTCCCACCGATACGCACCGGCGGGGCGCCCGCGGCGCCGCTCCCAAACGTCAGCGGGGGCGGGCAGGCCCCGGTCCGGCCGTCCGACATCTCCCGGGCAGCCTCCGCGGCGTGCAACTCGGCGCCGCGCCTCGGCTGTGGCCCGGACACGTCCCTGCGCTGAGCCCGGCACCGTCCCGCGGGCGCTGCGCCCCCCGTGCCCGACCCCAGCGTTCCCCGGCGCTCCCGGGAGCAGCACTGCGCGCCGGTGGGCGGTGAGTGCGCACAGCGGCTGTACGCGTTTCCATGTCACGTCGTGTTGACGCCCTCCCGCAGGTGCGGGGCTGTGTTTGTGCTACAGGCGTGACACAGCGGCGCTCCCCTCTCCGCGGAGCAGCCGGTCCGCTCGGCCCCGCGAACCTCCGTAGGTGCCGATAGCCACGGCCGTGCCGGGCGGGAGAGTGTGGCACACGTGTGCGGGGCACAGCCCGCCCGGCCGCCGCCGCTCCTCCCGTCCCGTCCCGTCCCGTCCCCGCGGGCACGGCCCGAGCGCGGCGCGCGGAGCCCCGCGGGGCGGAGCGGGACCGGGCGCGGCGGGCGGGCGCGTGACGTCACCAGCGAGGCCCCGCCCCCGGCTCGGCTTCCGCCCGGTTGCCGCGGAGACGCGTCCATCGCGCGGAAATCCCCGCGGGCGCGGAGCCCGCCCGGCGCCGCCATGAGCCAGCGGCAGGTCCTGCAAGGTAGGCTGGGCCGGGGGCCGGGGCCGGGGCCGGGGCAGCGGGGCTGGGGCTGGGGCTGGGGCTGGGGCAGCGGGGCCGGCGCCCGCCCGCTGACCCGGCGCTCGCCCGCTGACCCGGCGCTGCCGCCCGCAGTGTTCGAGCAGTACCAGCGCGCCCGGTCGCAGTTCGCGCAGGCAGTGGCCGACTTCGCCGCCCGCCCGCAGAGCATCGACACTCTCCGAAGTGCAGGTACCGGGCGTTTGCGCGCCCCGGGGCGGGGGCTGGGGCAGAGCGGAGCCACCGCGGCCTTTCCCAGGTTTTTGTTTTATCTCCCTCCTCCCCCGCTGGCCGCTCAGTTTGCGGAGATTTTTTCCCAGTAGGGTTTGGCCCCCACTGCTTGCCGAGCCCCCCTTGTTGCGGAGGGAGAGTAAATTGCGCTGGTCAGCGGCGGGCGGGTGCCCGGTCTGCCTGTGCGGGGGTCGATGTCTCTGGCTGGAACCTCCGGTTTATTTCAAGGAAAATTTCTCAGAATAATAATTTTTCAAATTTACTACCTCCCGGTTCTGATACAGCTTAATGTAAATTACAGAGATTGGAATTACCGATAAAGGCAGCTCTAATTTGCCAAGGAAATTCTACTTTTAGAATAAACAAATTTTTATACTGGCTTTACTAGTTGTTCCTAAATTCTTCAATGCTTTCTGCCGGCAGATTGGCTCGGTTTAGGAGGGATTTGATTTTGTTATATTGCTGTCATGGGATGTCATGAACCAAATTGAACATTTTTAGAAAGAGGAGCTGCGGGAGCATTTCTACCAGCTGTTGTGCTGCTGGCATCTGGCAGGTCTACTCCACTCGGCCAAAGTTCCTGAGCTTAAAAGAGGAAAAAGAAGTGCCTGGTAACTGATTACCTGAATGACAGTTTGAAAATGTGCTGTAGATCAATGGTTGGTTTGCCATGTGGTATTCATGAATTGGTTGTGTTTTGGTGTGTCTCAATTTTGTTTTAATACTTGTTTCCCAGATCTAATAAAGTTATCAGTCTTTTCTCAAATACAATGGCATCTAACAAACAAATGAAAAAGAAAACCAGTGGTGTAAATATTTACAACTTTGTTATTGTGTTTACAACAGTTTATTAGAACTGTTTTATTAAAAATCTATCACTTAAATTCTCACTAAGGAAACATTTCCTTTCATTATGGGAGTGGCATATTGATACCAGGCCTTTTGTATTACCTTGCTGCGGCTCTTGAATATTTGTTTTGTTTTCCATCTTTTGGTGAGTTAATGACACTGCTGTGGCTTATACAAGTGATCTCTGTTTGCCAAGAGGACATCGTGGCTATAGGAATGATTTATGCCTTATTTGTATGAAGAGGTCCCTCTGTGTCCTTTTACAGTCCTGGTTTTAGCAGCTCCCAGAGAGAGATCCTATACAGGCAAGCTTCTTGCAGCACAGAATTTTAAAAATGCAGATAGTTTCTATTTTAAGAAAGCAATCAAAGTGCCAAGCTAACTTTAATTGCATTGTATTTATTTTTTAAAATAACTATTTAATGTAATCTGGCTGGTAACTTTACCTCAGAACTGATTTGTTGCTTGTGCAGAACAAATAATCAGTTCAGAGGCCTGAAACTTTCCTCTGCACACAGCTGGTGTTGGTCTGAAGGTTAAATTTGCAAGGATTAGGCTCTGGGTAGTAATGTGGAAATGTGCATTTGTGTAGATTATTCTACTCAGCTGTTTCTGGTCATGAACTGCTTTTCTACAAGCTTTAGTTTTTCAGATGCTGGACAAGAAGGGAATGTATGCAAATACGGCGGTTACAATTTATTTGGATGGCCCACAAATATTTTACCATCTTTCCCACCTGTGTCTTTAAAAATACTTTGTAGTTATATAATTGCAATGAGAGCTGTTAATTTTGACCTTTACTGGGTGTGCTAGATACAAGTTTTAAAAACCTCCTTGTAATTTATATGTGATTAAGTGTTTTCCTTTAAAACATCCCACCAAATAGAATTGGTCTTTTTATTAAAGAAATATTTTGGGACATCGAGGTCTAGCAGATAACTGGTGTGCCTTTTAGGATCTTACTCTAGTGAGTGCTGGAGCAATGATTGAAGTAAGATGCCTGTCTATATGTGTATCGCTGTATAAATCTGAATTTAAAAGGGATTTGGGCTTGTTTCTTTTTCTGGTGAATAAGAATTCTAGCCATCCTTTATGGAGATGGCTGTTTTAAGAAGATGAGGAAAGCCTTTGCCCACTGTTACTTTACATTAGCTATAGGAGTCAGGGGCACTTTGCAGGGTTCTTTGTTGGATCTCAAAAGTTGTCAGGGTTTAGTATCTTTCTGGCAAAAGCAAGTGACTTGAATTTGAACAAAATTAAATCCTTAAAGTGTACAGTCACGTACTCTTGTATTAGTGGCCTCAGTTTATATTCCTGGAATAAGAATGAAAGATGAGTGTTCAAGGAATAAAGCATCTGATCCCATTTTAGAAATCCTTTTGATAAATACTTAACATGTTATAAGGCAAATAAATACTTGTTTTGAGACCTTGTTCTTTGTGGAGGTGTCTCTGGACACCATGCTAACATCATGAAAGAAGTGTTGAAAAAGTACTTATTTACTACCCTCTAAGCCCTGCTCCTGTGGTATGAAACTGGGTACAAGCAGTGGTATTGTTGCATATTTGGAGCCTGCAGCCAGGGTCAGAGGCACCAGTTATGCTGGCTTGACTGTTGAGAAACCTTAAGGTACCATCATTGTGGAGACTACTATGTATGACCTGTAAGGAAAACTGGTGGGAAGCTGGAAAAAAGGTCAGACAGGGCCAACAGGAAGCCCAGCTTTTCTTAGGGCATCTGTCTTCTGAAGCTTCTGTATCTGAGCACGTTCTGGAACTGCTTTTCCCACTGGGCAGAAATCCCAAAGATGTTGCAGCCAAGGAACTGGAATCTGGCCCTGGGCTTCAACACATTTGCATGGCACTGGCTCTTTCCTGGTCAAGAATGTCCTGGGGGGGGTTAGTGCCTGGGAGCTTAACAGCTTTCTGTTGGCAAGAAAGTGTGGAAAGAATGATCAGAGAGATTCTTTTGTGGGTTTTCCAGCTCTCTGTTTTGTTTTGATAAAGTTGTTCCCTATGATTAAATACTACCATGAGTAATTATAGGATTTGTCATTTGAATGTTTACTTAGTTGATACTTGGGGAGAAAAGTCTGCTCTAAAACTCCTAAACCTTTTCCACTTAGTAAATATACATGTGAAATAATGACAGACATTTTATCAAATCTTGTTTCTTGAGGGCTGCTGACTAATGGGAAAGCTACTTTGATAGTAATGACTTTAAATACAGTCTTTAAAAATAAATCTATTCATTTGGCAGCCACTACTCCTGGAGTTTGGTATCGGAATGCATTATTCAGCTCTGCATCTCCTCATCCTTCCAAAATTTAAAATCCAAGAAACAGGCTATTTTCAGTTATAATGGCAGATGAACTTGAGCTCTTGTTCTTGCACTGAGATTTAGGCAGCTGCTTGTCTTTTAGAAGAGCTGGGTGAAAAGCTGAAGTGCTTCTAGTATGTGTGTGACAGTGGTAGTCACTGAGGGTCTAATTCATAGGTTTTTTCCTTGTGAAGTGCAGTGCACTGTAAATAAACAACCCCTTTGAAATTGCATTTTGTTTTGATTTTTTTGAAGGCATTTACAATTCAGGATTAATACATGTATCAGAATAATTACTTCTGTGTATTTGTTTTTGATTATTTGATTTTTAAAAAAAATTAATTTATCTAGTGTTAGAACATATGGTGATGAGAATGCTGCTTTTAATATGTGAGTTATTTAAGGCTATCATTGTGATTAAGAAACAGTTTAGTCTTGCTACTTTAACTCTGAAGTTAAAGCTCTTTAACCCCTTTCTTGGGGCTAATTACATTCTTAAGTGTAATGACTGCAGAAGTCATGGGGAAAGCTGAGTTTGGAACATGGAAAATCAGCTCTGTGTGGTGCAGCAGCCTCTGTGCTGGGGCCCTGCACACCTGGCTTCCCTTCACATTGCTGCTGGGGTATTTTTATCATCTCGGGCACATAACTTCAACTGCTGTTCCTCTGCCTTGCTGGACAGCCTGCAGGGTTCCAGGAAAGTTCCAAAATGTCACTGTAAATGAAGATCTTCTCTCAGTGAATCTCTTCCTACTGTCCATCCATCAGCCCACAGCCCTGAGCCCAGGTCTCCCTTCCATCATGCCTGGTATCAAGGTGCTTCGAGGTTAAAGCCTGGAGGCAGAACTTACCTGAATCAGACCAGGGCTCCACCAGCAGCCCCTGTGGCATGGCAGACATTCCCCTGTTTTGTGTTTTTCTGTAGGTAAAGGTGATGTCATCAGTGTTCTTTCCTGGCTCCAGATCTATTCCACTGGTGATAGGTTGTAAAAGCTATATTTCCAAATCTCTAAATGGGTTTTAGGAGCCTTTATTTTTAAGAAAATGCTGTTCAAATTGATTTCTGTCCTCCAATTACATGGAATATTTTTGCCCATGCTTTTCTCAATTTTTCATTCTGATATATGTATTTTAAATGTACTATGTGACAGTTGGACACTTGGCCCTGTGTAATCAGAACCAGACCCTAGGATGGAATTTTAGGATATAGTTCCATATTTTATATAATAATAAAGAATATTATTTGATAGCACTGTGCTTAATAGAAAGCCTGTGAGCATTTGCATCCTGCAAGTGGATATGCATGGACCGACTCCAGTGCCCCAAAGTAGCCAGTTTCAACACTGGAATTTATGTACTCTCTTTTGTAAGGGATTCACACAACTTTGGGATTTTTTGGGTTGGTTTTTTTTTTTTTGTTTGTTTGTTTTGGTTTTGTGGTTTCTAAAATATTTTTATTTTGAGTTAAAAGCTTTACTGAGCTTTAGCAGCAGGAGAAGTGGGAGAGGATAATGCAATGTGGCATAAAAGACAAAAGTTGTCTTTGCAGTTGTAGTAGATCAGGTGTGGAGAGTGGCTTTCCCAAAGGCTTTATGAAATTGTGGTGCCAGGTGAAGGGAAGAAGAAGTCTGCTTTAAGGAAAGTACAAGAGAGGTGACATAGAAGGAGAAAATAAATGCAGCTGAAGCTGGAGGGTTTTTCTGTAACTCAAATCAAGTGAAAGCTCAACTGTTCCTCCTCTTCTCAGTCTCCTGGCCTGTCTGGAGATTTGCAAGTAAAATATCAAAACCAGA